CTTAACCGTTCCACGGAGGAAGAATCATGTCTTACTTATGCCATTAAGCAGTTAAATGAGACAAGTTCCTCATCCTTTCGTGAAAGTACGTTAAATGAGACAATTTCCTCATCCTGTCTGTTTATTTTTTATAGGTTTCCAGAAGCGAAAGAAACTGACAATGATTGTCATCCCCAGTATTTTTATCCCAAAGAAAACACTACTAGATAGGGTAGAGTTTCACGAGTCTGATTTGCTAGCTTACTGCAAAGATAATCACATCGAACTTGAAAGAATTGTTGGATGCATACCACAGGTATTGCTACAACTAGCATGCCATATTATGGTTATCTACACAGTTGCCATTGTGTCTCTTTAATCTCAACAGAAAGCTAGAGATTCTGATTAAGTTTTGGTCATTTGATGGAAGTGTATGTCACGTATTCTGATTATATGCATTTTTCTTGGATGCAGATTCTTAATCCAAATCTAGATGCAATGTCCAAGTTGATTACGGAAAATGCCAGTGAAGAATTTCTGCATTCATTAAGCAATTATTGTGCTCTTCAGGTTAGCATTGATCGATAGCAAATGCCCTTGCGTCTTTCCATGCTGAAATTGTTTTTATTAAATCTTTATTTTTTTTAAAATCATGTCTAGGGCTTTAATAATTAACTGGAAAAAAGAAGAAAAACTACCATTCAAATCGATGAGTAGTTTCAAGTTGGAGTTTTAAAATAATTTTAAAATAAAAAATAAAAGTAAAAAAATAAAAAATACCAATTCAAATTGGGAGTAGTTTCAAGTTGGAATTTTAAAATTATTTTAAATTAAAAACATAAATAAAGCAATAAAAAACATATGGCACAATTAGTTAATAACAATTATTTATTAAAAATTAACAAAGAAATTAACTACCTAAATTAACTACTCAAACATGGGTGAGGGTTGGGTTGGGTTAGTTAATTTCTTTATTTTATTTTATTAAATTATTTTTGTTTTTCTTTTTTCGAAATAAAAAGTGTATTTATTCACTAAAATTAAATATTATTGAGAAAAATATAATAAAATTTAAAATAAAAAATAGTTTTAACAGTAATAAAATATATATCTTCTATTATGTTATAAAAATATTAAACAAGTAACATGCTAATAATTTATATTAACAATACAATTATACTCACTATTGGATAATATAATAAACAGAAATATATAATGACAAAGCTATTTGGTGATTATATAAGTCCCTTTAATTTAATAGATATTTTATTCATTAAAATTCAGACAATATCTATTCTATTTATATAGAATAGGAGAAGAGAATTATTATGATCACTCAAAATGTAACATAAAAAAAATAACAAAGTGACAAATTTTAGGACAAAGCTCCAACAAATTTGGAGATTCAAAAATTATTTACAAAAAAATTATAAAAAAGACATAACAAAATTAACTACCTAATATTAACTACTCAAGCATAGGTGATATAATAAAAATAAATACATAAAAAAAAGTTATTCGATGACTACATAAGTCCCTTTAATTTAATGAAAATTTATTCATTAAAGTTCAAACAATATTATTGAGAACAATAGAATAAAATTTAAAATAAAATTATTGCAAGAGTAATAAAATATACATAATGACAAAGTTATTTGATGATTATATAAGTCCCTTTAATTTAATAGATATTTTATTCATTAAAATTCATACAACATCTATTCTATTTATATTGAATAGGAGAAGCGAATTATTATGATAACTCAAAATGTAACATCAAAAAAATAACAAAGTTATAAATTTTAGGACAAAGCTCCAAAAAATTTGGAGATTCAAAAATTATTTGCAAAAAATATGATTAAAAAAACACAACGAAATTAACTACCTAATATTAACTACTCAAACATGAGTGATATAATAAAGATAAGTACATTAAAAAACGTTATTTGGTGGCTATATAAGTCCCTTTAATTTAATCAAAAATTTGTTCATTAAAGTTCAAACAATATTATTGAGCACAATAGAATAAATTTAAAATAAAATTATTGCAAGAGTAATAAAATATATATCTTCTGTTATATTACAAAAAAAAAGTAGCAGAGAAAAATATTAAATAAAATAATATGCTAATAAAAATTTCTATTAACAGTGTAATAATATTAAATATTAGATAATATAATAAAGAAAAATTAAAAATTAAAAAGTTATTCGCTGCCTGTATAAGTCCTTTAGTTTAATAGAGATTTTATTCATTAAAATTTAGATAATATTATTAAGAATAACAGAATAAAATTCAAAATAAAAAAAATATTTCAACAGTAATTAATTATATATTTTCTCTTATATTAGAAAAAGAAAGCGAGCAGACAAAAATAGTAAACAAAGTAATATACAATAACAACATACCCAGTAATATCCCACATTGTGGGGTTTGGAGTAAACAAAGTAATATACTAATAAAAATTTCTATTAACAATGTAATAATATTAAACAATGGATAACGTAATAAAGAAAAATATAGAACAAAAAAGTTATTCATTGATTATATAAGTATCTTTAAGTTAATAGATATTTTATTATTGGGTATATCGTATAGACAATAAGATGACAATTTAAATTTATTAAAGCAATAAGATCTAATAGGATCAAACAAACCCGATCATACTTTAATTTAATTTTTTTTAATATTTACCGCGCATCGCGCGGGTACGACTACTAGTCTCAAATTAATATACAAATAATTGGATTAATAAATTGAGTTCCAAGCTAAATATTCTTATACGTTTAGTGAATTTTTCAGTACAAATACAAGATCTAAAAAAAAAGTTACTTCACGAGAACACATTAGACATTGTTACTCTTCTTTCAAAAAGATAGTTAAACTTTTAGGTTGTTCGCGTCTTATAATTAATCTTTTTTTTCTTCGTATTTTATCCTCGATGTAAATTCGCTATGTGCAATACTTGAGAAGTTGAGATTGCTTTAAAGACATAGTCCGAACTTGACAAAGAAAAGGATATTTTAGAAAAATATTGGATATTGTTTTTAAATTGGTTGACTAATACTACAGTTAAACTTATCTATAACAGTCTCGTTTATTCCAATATTTTCTGGCTACTATAGTAAAGCTAAAGCATTGTTATAGATGACATACATTATAACACAATAACATAAATAGTTCCGAAAAAAGCTTGGCTTTTATAATAAATGAATGTTATATATATGGAGATATTCTTACAGAGAGGCTTGACTCTATTTGTCAAAGAACCCAAAGCCCTCCAAGCATTAATTGTTTATTAAAACTTTGCCAAACAAATTAAATTTAAAAAAATGTGGAAAAATCTATACATTTTAAATAGCATCATGTCCTAGATCTTGTTATAGATAATAAAACTTTAGCCAAGCTTCACATACTCGAGGTATTAATTGATTAACTGCAAATTTGACTAAAAAGGACTTTGCTATTCACACATAACCTAAATTGGGGAAAATAGAATTGGATTTCAAGTATATCTTATAATTAAGGTCAACACATGTTAAGCTATATATGATTTTCATAAGTTAAATTACGATTGAGTACAGTATTAAATATCTTTTAGATGCACATATTGCTCATGGGAACAATAGGATGTGATCTTTATGACACAATTAATAATTTAATTCATTTTCAAATAAATCTTGCACTAACTCCTTTAGGAGTTATTATTTCTTTGGTAATACGGTACATGTACTTTTTAGCTAATATATAACGCAACAAAGTTGCCTAACTTCAAGAACAAACGGAAATTAAATACCAAATATATTAGGTGAATTATAAAATTTGAATTTTGAGGACTAATAATATTATTCTTGACTTTCAATTAAGAGGTTGTGAGTTCGAGTCACCTCAAGAGCAAGATGAAGAGTTCTTAAAGGAAATGATGCCGAGGGTCTATTGGAAACAACCTCTCTACCCCATAGTACGGGTAAGATCTACGTACACACTGCCCTCCCCAAACCCCACTAGTAAAATTGTACTAAATTGTTGTTGCTCAAGAACCAAGAAACGTGACAACCTAAAACAATATATCGATTAGAAAAAATAAATAATGCATCTGTCTCACCTTTTGACTATATAATAAGTGAAGCTTGCAAGGACGGCAAAGGGTTTTTATGTAAATATAGGCTTCTTCATGGCTAATTGTAAACGTATCTTTTTGTCTAAAAAACAAACACTTGTCCCACTAGAAGTCCCACCCTTTTACACACTTTGGTTCCCGTTTCAAGTTTCTCTTTCTCTCATTCATCTTCTTCACTCCGTCTTGTGATGACCCGCCATGTCATCATGCCACGTAGGCACCATTTGGCATTTATTAATGACATGTGGAAGCTTACATAAGAAGAAGGCTAGTATTTGAAAGAAGAATCTAGAGCAATATGGATATTTTTCTTAGGAAGAACCTAGATCCTTATAGATTTGCTAGGAAAGTTCTTGGAATGTTCTAGGCTTGTAGAGAATTCTAGAGAAAGCCCTTATCTTGTAAATATCAAGGATTTGTATAATAATTATTATTTACACACTACGTGTGGTGCATTCTGATTCAGGCCATGTACTACTAGAACCTGAGGCTATATTGGACATGAGGCTGGCTAAGAAACATGGCAAGGCAATAGTACAAGTCCTTGTCAAATGGTTGAATGTTGCTCTAGAAGATAGTACTTGGGAGGATCCGCAGGATTTCAAGCTCAAGTTTCCACTTTTTAATCCTTGAGGACAAGGATTATATGAAGGGGAGGGTATTGATACCTATCTGAATGTAATAACCATAATTCGTGGGTAATCGTATTTAATGATTAAGTTAGTAGTAGAGTTAGTAGCTGAAATTAGTAGTTAAAAGTAGTTAGTGCAGGTTGTTAGGGAACACGTGCAAGTCATGTGACTTCCAGAAGTTAGTTATAACTAACTCTACAGCACATGGGCTCGTATATAGCTCACAGATTCTCTCTCTGTAGATTCATTCAATTGTTGTGAGAGATGAATAACACTTCTTCTCTCTATTCTCTCAACTCTTTGGGCTTCCTTTAGCTCATGGATTCACTGTTCAAGAGTAATTCTTCTCGTTACTCTTTAGGTGTTCCTTCTTTTTCGATTCCAGAATTTCGGTTGCGTATCAGTGTGGATGTTTGCTCCTTAAATCAAGTGATTACGTGCAAGAACAAACTGCAAATTGTAAGAAAAGGTATTAGTACTGTTCAAAATTTACGCTTCTCAATGACACTTTACGAAATCGAGTTGCAAAATTCTTTTACTTTTATCAATGTTTTTGGAACCAGAGGGTGTATATTGTGATATTTGAGTGTATATCTAAATATGAACTTTTTCATGATGGATAGAAGCAGATGATGCAAAGTCATATATTCTCACAAGTTAGCAACTGGCAGATATATACAAGGCATATCTGGATTACAAAAACAAATCACATGTCACTGTCTTACTTTCTAGGTTATTAGTATTCATCTTGCAGAAGCAAAATTATCGAAGGTATAATTGAGTTGCTTGAACATACTTTTTCGTTCCTATTTTCTCTATATCCTTTACTTCCCAATATCTAATGAAAGGAATTGAAATTGAAATGTGAGAACATGTATAGACTGCACGATGAGTTACTAAATCAAGCCACTTATGAATGTACTAGGAAAGAAGATGATCTTGCTGTCACAAGAAATTGTACAAAACAATCAGTTAAAAGTAAAATAAAGGACATTGCTGCTCAATAACGCTAAGCTTTACAAATGTAAGCTTTGATGTGGTTATTAGAGATTTAGCTGAATATGTCACTACAACATCTAACTAAATCTATTATGTTTCTTGGTATACTTTATGCAATATTTTTCTTTATTCCATTTTGTGGTCTTTATTTCTGCTTGTGTTAACATTATTGACACACCCGGTCATGTTAATTTTTCAATTGAGGTGGAAAAAGCACGTGTTCTTGATGCATTCTACGTGTGGTGCATTCTGATTCACTGCTATGATAACGTTATCAAATCACAATCAGGGTGTAAGGCGATGTTTGCTTTACAGTATGCAGATGTTGTGGTAACGAATACGCTTTTGGTCACAATATATATTCTCCAAGGAGTTCTACTTCCATGAATGGGATAAGAATGGAGTCTTTTTTTGAAAAACTAGACAGATACCTGAGGGATATGAGGTATGAATTAGCAGCTCAATGACGTACTCACTATTTGAATCGGTTTATCGATAAATCGAATCAATTATTTGTTATCAGTTCATCGATAATCAAAATCGAAAAAATCGAAACCTTATTGAAACAATAACGATAAGCATATGTACAAATCGATAATCGGTAAGTAATTATCGATAAGGGTCAAAATCGAATCGATAAATCGAATCAATTATTTGTTATCAGTTCATCGATAATCAAAATCGAAAAAATCGAAACCTTATTGAAACAATAACGATAAGCATATGTACAAATCGATAATCGGTAAGTAATTATCGATAAGGGTCAAAATCGAATGCACACCCCTAGTTCTAAATAAAAAGAAAACTCCAACATTTTCATAAAAAGAGTAAGAAGGAAAAGAAAAAAGAGGAAGAATAAGGATCCACTCTGTTGATACATGATTGTAAAAAGAATTCCAAGAAAACCTATATTAGTCTTTGAGTGTAGAGTAATCTTAACATGTAAATTTACCAATTTAAAATGGTAATCAAATATGGTTATGATATTTCTTCTTTCTACTTATCTTCACCAGTATAGTATCTTTCGGCTTAGAGGATACTGCAAACAAGAAGGCTTATAACTAAGAATGGAGGACTTTCAAAAGTGATGCACTCTTCTTTGGAGGGACTTTCAAAAAGGGATGCAGCTTGTATGGTCCAGTATCTCAGTGGATTTTATTTTTGTAGCAAGATGAACAATTTACATTGAAAGTAAACTGCATAATGTATTATGTTGTAAATACATATTTCATAATCATCTACATAATCAATGGATACATTTTGTACAAAACGTTGATATGTTGTTATTCAACATTAATAGAACTAGCAATTTCGGATGTTGAATGCTTAAACCAAATAATATCTTTCTTCTTTATAATTATGCTAACTTTCATTTTGCTGTCAAAACGAATTGAATCCAATCCAGTCCAACCTAGAGAAACTTTATCACAACTGTTAATGTTATGATACGTTTAAAATTACAAATTTTAAAACCTACAATTTTCTGTTCAACTATACATTTTCCCGTCAAAAAAATCTCTTTCCAACCAATTCCTGAAATCTTTTGGCCTAGTATAAGAACGATCCACGTCTCCCGGTAAAGATATAACATTACCATATTGGTCTAAATATAACAAATGGATCCCAATCTTCTTTATTGTAATGTGCTCAGACCACACTTTTATCCTTTCCCCGCCTTCGATGATCATCTCGCAATCACAAGCTTTATGTAAGGAAGAGATGTAATATACACATGAAACTTCTCTCTGTCCATGAGGTATACCCCACGGAGAAATTAAATTCTCTTTATGAGCAATACTTATCCTGAAGCTTGGATCCGAAGGGTCGATTAAAAACCAGACACCAACGGCAGTCTCTTTATGGACAGTACTAATCAAGAAGCTTGGATAAGGGGCTGCATCCAAAAAGTCGCTAATAACAAACCAGAGAACCATTCCTAAGAAGTTATACTCCTTATTATGTGTAGGCATAGTCAAACAAATAGATGAAGCTATTACTTGATTCCTGCACCATTCTGGAATCTCATTGCATTCCAGATAAATTTCTAAATAACCCTGCATTAGACAAAGACTCAAGATCATTAATACGATATGAGAGAGAGAGGGGGAGAGAGAGAGAGAGAGAGAGAGAGACTAACATAATCTGAATCTTCTCCAGATAGAAATGATAGAGCAGGTGCACTAAAGAAGCCTGCATTGAATGGATTCTGCAGAGAACTACAATTCATCATATTGATCCGCTCTATACAAGGGAGGTTGTCCAACTCTCTAATCTTGACCAATTTTTGGCAATTTTCAAGTTCAAGAATTTCAAGATTCTCTAAATTTGATATTGACGGGATTGTTTGAAGATTCTCACAGTCATTCAAATACAACTCCACCAATAATCGTAACTTAGAAAAATCAATGGGTAGACGATAGAAACTGTTGCCACTCAAATCTAAAAGCTCTAAGGAGGATAAGCTCCCAATATCCCTAGGAATATCAGCCTCGGACAAATTACAGTATGTAAGTCTCAAATCGGATACAAAAGTTGACAAGGAATATTGTATCTGATGGACTTCTCTTCCAGAAATACTCCTTTTGGCCTCTAACTTTTCACCTTCCACTCTCAAAGTTTCAAGATTTCTTAGCATTTCAACCGATCTAGGCAATTGTTTTATACCTGTATCAGATGCATAAAGATGTCTTAGACTTTTCATATCTCCAAGGTTATCTGGCAGTGTTTTTATTGATGAGCATTCATCAATGTCCAAGTAATCAAGGGATTTTAGCTGGCATATGCTGCTAGGAAGATCCGTAAGTTTTTCGCAACCACGCATATATAGTTTAATTAGTCTGGACAAATTCCCTATTGATGGATGGATCTCCATCAGACTTGAGCAACCAAAGAGACTCAAAATCTCAAGACTCGGTGAACCATTGAAGTTTGGAGTGCTTCTAAGTTGCTTGCAATTAGAGAGATTCAACTCCTTCAAACTTCTAGAACACTAAAAGAAAACCAAATATAATTTCAATTAACATTTTCTTTCACTTAGTGGCAATAACAGTACACATGAAATTGTAAAATTGAGTAACAAACCTGCAAATTCAGTTGAAATTCTAGAATAGCACTTTCCCGCATATCTAGAACAACAAGATTCTCAGCTGGAAAATTTGATGGTATACATTTTAAAGGACATCTTTTCCAAGACAACCATCTGAGCTTCTTGGACAACAACCCAAAATCTCCACTAATATGTAACTCATCCATTATAAGAACCCTCAAGTTTTCCATTTGTTCAAATGCTTTGGTGCTCAACTTCACTCCCTTTAATGTCCCTCGATCTACCTTCAATACTTCTATATTTTCGGAACCCTGCATGTCAGTTAAAAAAAAAATTTACGCTCATGTTAGATCCCAAAAATTAAGCGAGAAAAATACTTTATACAAATTGGTGGACAAACAAAGAGAATACACCAAGTATCAACAAAAATGAACTTACACATTATAGGATGATAAACAAATTTAAAATTGCTCAACCAGCTAGGATGAGAGCCTTTCAAAAGTGGCTAGCAGCATTCAATAAATTCACATGATAATATCAATGGAAAAAAAAACATAAATAAAGAGAACAAATTGCATCGCGAATGCCTGATAATAGTATCAATTAAAGATAGAATATATGTTATATTATATTTAAAAGAATATTTTGTATATATTGTTCTAGAAATAATAACATAAATGTTCCACATATGTACCTATTCAACAATTTTCAGAAGCGCACATGCCTAATTTCTTCGAGAGCAAGCTTAATTTCCCCAATTAGATAAGCATAGAAAGTCAGTAAGAACATAATTAAACAAAAAAAAAATGATGAATAAGAAGATAAATTCAAACATCTCTCAATAACTAATCTTGGAGATAATATGGTCTATGCCCACAAGTGTGTGTGTGTGTATATATATAAGTAAATAAAACCAGAGACGAAAGCACAAATGAATTTAATTCTTATGATCACAATAGAAATTATAAGTGGAAACAAAAAAGTATTACTGACTTTATTTCCTTGTAGAACACCACAGACTTCTTGAGGGATAAACAATCTACTCCGTTTTCCAGGGTCTCGAGCCGATTCCGTGCGAACAATTTCTCTTCCCATATCTCGCACTAGATCATGCATCTGCAAATGATACGGAGATCTTTGGAGCAAGTGTTTTTGGACTAAAGTTGCAATTGTACTTTTAGCATGAAAGCCACATGCATTTAATATTTCAGTAACTTCATGCTCAAGAAACCCATGGAAGGCGCACGCAATATCAAGGAAAACAGTTTGTGTTTCATCATCAAGTCCATCAAAGCTTATCTTGAGAATCTTTTGGATATCACTATGAGGAATTGCTCTTAGTTTTTCGACTTCATATCCCCATTCTTCTATAGAACTTCCTTGTAAATGTGACCCCAATGTCACAAGAGCTAATGGTAGCCTGCCTGAATATTCGATTATGCCGTGTGCCAAATTAACATAATCTTGTGGTGGAAAATGACTGTCAAAAGCATGCCAACAAAAAAGTAACATAGCTTCATTGCCATTTAATAGTTTGGCTTCATATCTCTCTTTTTCTCCAAGCCGACATAGCAATCGCTCGTCTCGGGTGGTGATGATTATTAAACTACCCGAACCAAACCAAATTCTTTCTCTTGTTAAGGCTTCTAACTGTCTTTTATGGTCCACATCATCAAGAACAACTAGAACCTTCTTTGACCCGAGTCTTGCTTTGATTAGATTGATGCCTTGAGCAACACTGCCAACTTTGATGTCCTCAGTTTTGAGAATTTGTCGAAGAAGTTTCTCTTGTAGCTTGACAAGACCAAATTCTTCAACTTCTGATCTAACATCTGAAAGGAAGCAACTACTATCGAAGAGTCGAAACATTCGATTGTAGATAGCTTTTGCCAGAGTTGTTTTCCCTATGCCACCAACTCCGTGAATACCAATCATGCGAACTTTATCTTCACATTCATTTTGCAATAACAACTCTATATCTTTAACACGATAGTCTACACCAACTGGGTGCCAAGCAACATCTAGAGGTGTCTGGTTGACCTCTTGTAGGACTTGTTGTATAATTTTTTCAATAAACTTTGATTCATGCCTATAAATTTTTTAACAAAAACAACAAATTGAAATACTCCAGTAAATAAAACTTTGATATTTGAAACAATTTCATGGTCAAATCAAAATCCATATCCAAGACATAACATAGTGGGGTGAATCTAAGCGGTAAAATAGATAACTTACCGCTTCATATAGGATATTTTAAGAAATTGTTTAAGTTATATATATTGATAGTAAAGATCTCTTTTTCACTATATTTATCAGGAAATTTACCATTAATTATATAATAAGAGACCTATTACTAGAAGTACGTACTTACTGTTTGGGTGAAATTGTTTGGTCAAGATTTCAAGTACTAGAGCCCTAAGGGGTTGAACAAAATTGGTCAAGATTTCAAGTACTATAATTAGTTGAGGTTGATATCGACACTAACCTTCCAGAAAAGGTATTCTTCATCAATGAAAAGGTAATTTGGTGGAGCAGAGGGTCCACCATGATTGGAAACCAACACTTTGTAAAAGTTGGCAGAAGTATGGCCATGCTGCAGAGGAGTGCAGAAATTATCTATGAGAAGTTGTAATGAGCATAGGAAGATTTCTTTTGTAGCAGGGGACAAAATTGTGTTCCTAAGAAATATGGGGTACTGAACATTAAAAGCTGTAGGAAATAGATTATGCCATCAGTAGGAAAGCTATTGTGGCAACTGGCTGAGAAACAGGACATACTGTGGGTGAAAGGTGTGCCTGGGCTATATATTCAAATAAGATGTATCTATATGGGAGCACCGACCACCAGTAGATTGCAACTGGTATATGTTTACTCCGAATGGACCACAAGACTACCTCCTTGAATGCCATATAATTCCAAGCCCTTAGCTTTTAAACAAGATGATAAGTAAAATTAACAATGGGAAAGCTTTTTTCATTCGCAAGGGCCACTTTCATATCAGTTATTATGATGCAGTTTTCGCTGTACTTGAGAAGCATGTTGCATAATATAAGGACTAAAGGCGGATCTACGATTTGAAAATAACGACTATCTTATGA